AGGAGGAGGAGGAGGAGGAGGAGGAGGAGGAGAAAAGGGATAATGAGGAAGGGAGGGAAAGGAGAGGTTTCAGTAGGTTTAGAAAGAACTTGGTATTTCAGAAGTAAGTACTGAAATAGTAATTATGAGGGGAGGTCTTTATTGGATATTATTATACTTTCTAAAGATTTTAGTGTTATTTTGTTTTTAAATACACGTGAGGCACTGGTAGTTATCATATTTTTTTCTGTTGACAGCTTTAGATGAGATTTAGTAAAATGAGCTGCTGCCCAGAAAATGTAAAATATATGTGTGTGTGTGTGTGTGTATATATATATATATATATATATATATATATATATATATATTGATTTTTCACAGAAAGGAAGGGAGGGGGATAGAGAGCTAGAAACATTAATGAGAGAGAGTCATCGACCAGCTGCCTCCTGCACACCCCCCACCGGGATGTGCCCGCAACCAATGTACATGCCCTTGACTAGAATCGAACCTGGGGCCTTTCAGTCCACAGACTGACGCTCTATCCACTGAGCCAAACTGGTTTCGGCTGTAAAATATGTTTTTAAAAATATTTTTTAAAAATTCATTTTTAGAGAGAGAGAGGAAAAGAGAGGGAGAGAAACATTGGTATGAGAGAAACATGGATCAGCTGCCTCTTGCATACTCCCAGGGATAAGGACCATAACCCAGGCATAGAACCAGCAACTTTTTGGTATATGGGGTGATGTCCAACCAATTGAGTCACACTGCCCAGGGCAAAATTGAAGCTCTATTATTCACTTTAACCTACTAATCTCAAAATTATAAAAACCTGGTTATTTTCCTCTAGGCAAAATATTCAATGGTATATTGGGTAATTCCCAATGGTATATTGGGTAATTCCTGTTCTGTTACAAATGCCCCAAAGGGTAGAGCCTTAAAACCATAAACAACTATTATCTTTTATTTTCTGAGGGCCAGGAATCTTAGAGCAGCTTAGCTGGATGAGCCGGCTCAGTGCCTCTCATGAAGTTTCAGTGTAGAAACTGGAGCTTCAGTCACCTGAAGGTTTGACCAAGCCCTGGTCTGCACCCAAGATCGAACTCATGGTTCCTGGCAAGAGGCCTCTGTTCTTCACCAGTTGTTGGCTAGAGACCTCAACTCCTTTGCACATGAATCTCTCCATAAGGGGGTCTTCTCAAATGGCAGCTGACCTCCTCCAGGACAAACCAGACAATGGAGACTGAAGAAGGAAGCCCCATACCTTTTGTGATCTCGTCTCAGAAGCCATACTCCGTAACTCCCACCATATTTGCTCAAAGTGAGTCACATAGGAGATAACTAAACACAATGGTCAGGATTATCCTATATAATGGAAGGGTGATACGCAAATTGACCCTAACAGTGGAGCTGCCTGCTGGTAGTCAGTGCACTTCCAGGAGGCCGGGGGTGGAGGGGTGTCACTGCTCAGCCAGAAGCCAGGTTTGCTTCGTGGCAATGCTAAGAATGTCCAACTGACAGCTTAGGCCTGGGGTGTGGGCCTAAGCCATCAGTCAGACATCCCCCGAGGGTTCCCAGACTTTTAGAGGGATGTCTGACTGCCAGGTGGATATCCCCTGACAGGTCCCAGACTGTGAGAGGGCACAGGTCTGGCTGAGGGACTCCCCCACCTCCAGTGCATGAATTTCCATGCACCAGGCCTCTAGTGTACATAAAACTGGAGTTCCCACATGTAGAAACAAGCTGTCTGATATCTCGCAGTGTGGTCTTGGGTCCATCCCATCCTCTCTCTGGGTTTTAATTTCTTCATCTGTAGAAAGAGGCCAGGCCGTGGATCCATGCGCCACTTCAACTCTAGAGAGAGAGGAAGGGAGAGGGAGAGAAAGAGAGAAACAGAGAGAAACTGGAGTCATAAGTATCCCTTGCCTGTTTCCGCCACACCTGTTAGTGACCTCAGCAACTTGGTCTCTGCTTTTCATCTCTAAAATGAAATGATCTTACACAGTGGCTTTCAAACTTTTTAGACCTACTGTCAAAACTATACTTTGTACTGAAACTGCACACACACACACACACACACACACACACACCAGTCCATACGCATAACAGAAATGAAAGTTCCATAAAACAATACTTACACTTATTTCCGGGATGGACTCTCACCCCCCCCCCCCATTCTATACTAATTTATTTTAAAAATTGAAGCTCTATTGGCTAAGATCAAAATCTACTGCATTGATTTCACAATCCATCAATGGCCTCAGTGTTCTTTGTGTTAAATACTACTCTCACGTTCACTCCTCACTGTTCCTTTCCCCTTGGTAGTAGAATGGAAATGTTCAAGAGCATCCTAGCCCGTTTGGCTCAGTGGATAGGGCCTCTGCCTGAGGACTGAAGGGTCCCAAGTTCGATCCGCAACAGGGGATGTGCAGGAGGCAGCTGGTCAATGATTCCCTTTCATCATTGATGTTTCTCTCTCCCTCTCTCCCCTCCTCTCTAAAATCAAATATATATAAATATAAAGTTCAAGAGCAAGCGAGTCCTCACCTTCTAGTCCCTGGGAGGGACAAAAGCTCTTTCTAAAGGTCAACAACCACAGGAGACTAATTAGGCAGGAGCTACTATTAGAGTTAGCTGTCAGGGTCAAAAGGGCACTATTGTTTAGCTTTATAAGTTGGCCCTGCAACTCTTTAAGCCCTGTGACCCTGAGCAGCCCTCTAACCTCTCAGCTCATCCTTCCTCTATAAAACTGGAGTCCTAAGTATCCCTTGCCTCGCTCATAAAACTGTGACAAGGCTCAAAATTAGATAATTAGGTACGGAGAGTTTATTGACACCCGATCTTGAATCCTCACAACAACCCTGTAAGAGATATAGAGTGTTACAAGGTACACAGTTTGAGAGAAGAAACTGAGGCTTGGGGAATTGTAGGGGAGACCTTACAGGCAGCAAGTGGAGTGGCAGAACTAGGATTCCCAGCCAATTCTGACTCCAAACCCCTCCCGCAAAGCAGAAAGGCACAGGACTTTGATTTGACGGGGTGCTGGGCATCCGATGCATTCAAGAAGCCAATCCTCTTAAGCACCGCAGTGTCCTGACCTCAGAAACCGGCCAGGCTTCCCCATCCGTCGGGTGGGGGTCCCAGCTGGAGCCTTTACAGCCGCCTTGGTCCCCCGGGCCCTGGGCACCGTCTATTGCCTGCGGCGTCACAGTGGGGCTCGCTCACAGCGAAGGGACACGTCAGAATGGAAAGCATTTCCTCCCGAGGCCCCCCCACCCCCCTCAATGGTACCGAAACGAAGTCGCCGCCAAGAAGTCGCTTCGCACCGTCTCCGGACGCGAGCCTGGTTGTAGGGAGAGGCCCGCCGTGCAGCCGCCTTTCGCTGAGGCTTTGTTCCTTCAGCGCACGCAGTCCCGCCGGTGCCCCCGAGGTCCCGCCCCAAGGGGACCCCGCGGGGCGCGCGTCCCGGGCCGGCCCCCGCCCCCCCTCCGTGGGCGGGCTCCCCCCCCCCCCCAAAAGCTTCCGACTCGAGCAGGAAGGAGACGCCCAGTTAGGGGCGAGCCCTGCCCTTCGTCCGTCCATCCGTCCGTCCGTCCGTGCCCTGGGGACCGTGACCCTCAGGGACCGCCGGGAGCTGGTAAGCAGGCGCTGGCGCCCCTTTTGGGGACCCATCCCGGAGCCTGCGGGGGGCGGGAGGAGCGGGGCGCGGGCGTGGGAACAGGGTGCGGAGGGAGGGAGGGAGGGAGGGAAGGAGGGAGGGAAGGAGGAGGGAGGGAAGAGGGAGGGAGGGAGGGAGGGAGGTGCAGAGAGGACCCGCCACTTCGCCCAAGGCCCCGGGGCGACAGAGGCCTCAGGGCGGGCGCCCCGGGGAGCTGGTTCGCCGCCGGGGGAAGGGGGAAGGGGGGCTGGTGCGGGGCGGGTGCGGGGAAGGATCGGGTGCGGGGAGAAGCCTTGCGAGGGAGGTCAAGTGGCAGCCAAGCTTAACTTGGACACTTTAAAAACGAATTTTTATTGATTTCAGAGAGGAAGAGAGAATGACAGAAGCATTCATGATGAGAATCATGGATCAGCTGCCCCCCACACGCCCCCTCCTGGGGATCGGGCCGCAGTGGGGCTTGTGCCCTGGCCTGGAACCGAACCCTGATCTGGTTCACGGGTGGACGCTCAGCCTTTGAGCAAAGTTGGACACTACTTTTTTTATACAAAAAATATATATTTTATTGATTTTTTTTACAGAGAGTAAGAGAGAGGGACAGAGAGCCAGAAACATCGATGAGAGAGGAACATGGACCAGCTGCCTCCTGCACACCCCCTATTGGGGATGTGCCTGCAACCAAGGACCATGCCCTTGACCGGAATCTAACCCGGGACCTTTCAATCCGCAGGCCAACGCTCTATCCACTGGGCCAAACCGGTTTTGTCAACGTTGGACACTTTAACAAAATATGAATGTTTATTGATTTCAGAGAGTAAGAGAGAGTGACAGAAACATTCAGGATGGGAGAGAATCATTGACCAGCTACCCCCCCCCCCACACACACACACGCCCCCTACTGGGTATCGAGCCGCAGTGGGGCTTGTATCCTGACCGGAACCCTGATTTTTCCCCAAGGGCTGGGGCAGGGAACAGGCCGGGCCTTTTATCCTATAGCATTGCCACCGCCTGGTCTGAGCCAGTTGGGCGGGCTCCGGCAGTGACTAAAGTGCCACGAGGAAGGAAAAAGGACGCTGTCCACCTGACATGTTGTCCTCGCACGACAAGAAGTGATGAAACGAGTTCCTGGAGCCCAAACAACACCGTTCTTCCTTAGGAGTTGGGTTCATTGAACTTTTTATTAAGGGCGTCCTGGCAGTCAGGAGTGCTTTTTCTGAATCCTTTTATGATTTGGACATTAAAAACCAGTCACGCGAAAGCCGTTCATTAAACGGGGTGTCGCAACCATTTCAGGCCCAGGGAGCAGACCATCCCGCGTCACTACCACCAAAGGCACCTGTGCGGGGAAATTAGGCTCTCACGGTGGACCATGGCTTACGGGCTGCCAAGGAAGAACACAGTGAAAAACGTCCTGCGGGGCAGTTTTACAGTGTAAGAGTTTTTCTTGGGGGTGGGCATAGACTTGGGGTTGGGGGTGTGTGCTCCTGCTAAATACAAATACTGGTCACCCTTCTGTACCCCGTGAAATAGATACTAGCTGTATGAGGCATTTTCGAGTGTCTGGATACTGTTTTGTTTTTGTTTGTGTGTTTTGCTTTTGGGTTTTTTTTGTTTTTTTGTTTTTTAGGGAGCTGCTTTGACAGGAGTTTATAAATGATATTACTTGACCTTTTAAAAATATTTATAGTTTAAAGCAGTGTTTCCCAAAGTGTGGTACGCGTACCCCCAGGGGTACGGGAAGAGTTTGGTGGGGGTACGCGTTGCACCGGAGTTTGGTGGGGATAGGCACTGCACCGTGCTTAGCTGCGCCTAATACTACGTTCTCATGAGTACGAGGGGTACTCAGCGTTACGAAAATTATAGAAGGGGTACGCATATGTCAAAAGTTTGGGAAACACTGGTTTAAAGTATTACATATACTTTTACTGCCATTACCCCTTCCAGGCCCCCCTCCCCCACACCAGGCCCTCACCACCCCATTGTCTATATCCCATGGCCATGCTTATATGCATACAAGATTCTTGGTTGAGTACCTCTTACCTACACACCCTTCCCTGCCTTCCCTCTGAATTTCCCACTCTGTTCCATGGTTGTTACTTGATGTTGACAACAAAAGAATACTTTCAAATAAGAAAACAGGTTCAGAAAAATGGTTGGATCCAAGGGACAGCGTTAGAAGTCACCTTACTCTAAAGCTTTCAGCTGTTGCCCACCAACTTAAAATACCTTTGTAGATCATGCTAGCATTTGTCTATTGTACAAGATACACATACACACATATATGCACACACATGGGATTCTATTGAACTTTGCTCCCTACCCCTCTAGATCTTGTAAAGCCTGGTGATTAAGAGCACAGATTCTAATGTCCAACTTCCCTTGTTCAAATTCCAGCTCAAGACCTACGGCCTTATGACCCTGGGCAAGTCATTCTCTGTTCTTGTTCCCTAATGTGTAAAATGAGGATAATAACAGCACCTGCCTATTTAGTAGGGTTACTCTGGTAATTAAATGAGTTCATGCGTGTACACTGATTTAAGCAATGCCTAGCTTGTAGTAAGTGCTGGATAAATGTTAGCTGATTTATTGCTCATCTTTCCAAATCAGCGTGTAAGGACAAACCTTACTCTTTCACGACATGTATGCACCACATGTTTGTTAACCGGGCTCGTTGAGAGACATTAAAGCTATTTCTGGCTTGTTGTTTTTTGACAAACTGTGTGTCAGTGAACACTCTTGTAGATGTCTCAGTGCACTTGTTGAAGCCCATCTATAACAACTGCAGACTTCAAGTCACTCCTTAAGGTTAGATGGTAAAGTAGCAAGGAAGCTGGAGTGGAAAACAAAGCAGGTTCGGTGTGTAAGACCCTCCTTCCCTTCCCTCCCACCAGAGCAGGCCGGTCCCCTCCCTCACGCATATGAACTCACATTGACTGCAGATGAGAAACAGTGCCTTGCTTGTTGCTGATATTTTACATTTCCTAGGTAGAATACATAACAACATTTTCACATTCATAGTGATTATTTTAAGTATCATAGTTTAGGGTTTCATCTCCTCCAGTTTTCTAAGGATTCTCTTGGTACCAGTGCTTCAAAATAAATATACCTAGGCTAGGTACCAGCTCTGATTCTTAATTAATGAACTAGTGAGTCTCCATTTCCCTGTCTACTGGTGTAGTGGCTGTAGGATTAAAGTAAGGTCACACGCTCAAAGTCTTAGTCTATGCCAAGCACGCTGCTCAGTACATGACTATTCCCCCTGTTCCTCCCCTAATGTGGCCATATTTCTGATCAGCCATAAAAGACTACATCCTTGTAAAAGACGTGGGAAGATTGGATTGCCTCCAGGGAGGCTATGTTGTGAATAAAAGTTCCTGTCATTGTAATTTATGGAAAATTTTCAATAAATCTTTACATTATTTAAAGATATAAAGATATCAATTAGAAAGCTACTTCTCTTGGCTAGATTTGCAAGTCCCGTCCCCCACTCCCCCCCCCCCCCCCCGCAGTAAACCAAAATGTATAGTGGAAATCAGAGCTGAGAATTAGTTAGATGTCTTCTATATATCCCATAGTAGATGCTTAATAAATATTTGTTGAGTGAACTAATGAATTTTTGCTCCAGGCAGCAACCATGGGATCTTGCACTGCTTACAGAGACCTTGTACACAAAACTAAGCAAAATCAAATTTCCTTTCTTGGAAGAAATTACATATGGTGGTCCTGTGTACCTCAAAAAGTCTAAAATCAAGAAGGACCTTCTGCTTCCTTCTGCAGAAGGTATGAACTACTTTAACAAATGGCAATTTTTGACTTTTGTTTATTATCAGATACATGTTCAAATATGTTCATTTGCACCTATACCCCTCTCTGTATGTGTAGCACCTCTCCTCTTGTTTAGTATTCAAGAATGTGAATTGTGCTGGATGATAAATACTCAGTTTTGACTAAATTATACCTGGTAAAAACTGTCATTGGATTTCTTCATGTATTTTTATTTTTTAGATATCAGAATTGAAAGGGATTTTGAAACGAAGCGCTTAAATAACCTGAAAAGTCAGGAAAATGCAGAAAAGGAAATTCAGCTTGCCTTAAGGGAAAAGCAGTATGGTTTGAGAAGACCTGTTCCACCTAAGTGACAATCGCCTCGAAATCGAATCTGTGCTTTCTGTGTCTGATGGGGGACGGAGGGCTGTAGCCTTCCACCATGTGAACTTCCATGCGGGCATCTGAGTGCCGCTGAGGATGGCCTGCCAGCTCAGCAGGGTTAGTGGACAGCTCTGACAGACCTCCTGGGTTCCTGCCACCCACTTGTTCTGCTGTATCGCAGGCAACAGCATGGTAAGTAGTTGGAAAATGCATCTTGAATAGAGTCATTTGTGCTGTGCATTTTGACTTTTGTAAATTTGCTCAAAGGGAAGAGGAAACTCCTTGTCAATACATTATTTTGAAGAATATTTAAAATTTGCATTTATGAGATCCTAAAGAAGCACCAAAAGGAGATATATATTTACTGATTTTGAGAGAGGGAGAGAAGGAAAGATAAATCAATGTGAATATAGAGCATCAATCAGCTGCCCACGAGAAGAAATTCTTTTGAAAATGATAAACTGAAAACTTTTGTTTGGCTAAGAAAAATTGTCAATTTCCTTTTAGTAGCTCCCCAGCTCTCAATTTTCAGGGAAATTTCATTATTATTCTCATGTAGTACTTTAAAGTAGCAAGTAGAACTTGCTTAGGTTTTGTTTTCCTAAAAAATGGTCTCTTTCCTTCTGCCTAATTTCATATTGTGTCTCTGGAGCATGCAGAACACATATGTTAAAGTGATGTGAAAAAACAAAGACCTTATTATGAGGAAAACTCTCATTTGTACAGAGTATCTGAAGAATAAGGAATGATTGACTGCAAATAATTGGATTTCCATGAATCAATTTTCCTAGCATTTGAATTCAATAAGGCATATTTGGCTGTAATAGTTAAATTTAAGCACGATTTAGTGTTAGATGATTTGGTAGGCATTTTAGGTGCTTCTTGTACCTTAGCTAAATCATGAAAGGCATTGTGGCATAGTATTTAAGAGTACATACTTTAGACCTGGCCATCTGGTTTCTTACTTATGTTAGCACTTTGAAGCCTATCTGAATGCCTAACTCATGTAGGCATTTAGTATGCATGTACTGATTGTTGATTGAAAATTTCCACATGATCAAAAGTTCATAAGAGAAAGTCCATATGGAAAAGGTATGCATGTGTGGTGGTGATGGATGAAAGAATAGAAGCAAAATGCTATCTTCTCTACAGGGAAGTCAACAGATTATGCCTAAAAAGGAAAAAAATCAAGAAGTAGCAGTACCAAAGTGAGACATGAAGGTAAAAAATAAAACAGGCAAAAGAGGTGAAATTAGTTGCCTCTGTGGAGGTGAAAATGAGTGGCAGAGGTACACAGAACTCCTGTTTTTAAACACAAATATTTAGTTTACCCTTTAATATACATTTACAACTGATAATTTTTAAAAAGGGAAACAAAGTGAGTTCCACTGAAATTAAGAAATTTCTCAAGGATACACAACAAATCAGGACATCAGGGGAAGTGGGGAGAGGCCTAGAACCCAGACCCATGAACTAAAAACTAAAGTTTTCTTTTTACTACTGTCTTAATGCAAGTGTGTGTGTGTGTGTGTGTGTGTGTGTGTGTGTGTGTGTGTGTGTGTTTAAGAAATTAAGACAATAGCCCTGCTGGTGTGGCTCAGTGGTTGAGGGTCGACCTATGAACCAAGAGGTCACGGTTTGGTTTCTGGTCAGGGCACATGCCTGGGTTGCAGGCTTGATCTCCAGTATGGGGTGTGCAGGAGGCAGCTGATCAAATGATTCTCATCGTTAATGTTTCTCTCTCCCTTCCTCTCTCTGAAATCAATAAAAATATATTTTTTTAAAAAGGTAATAACAGCAATGATAGATCCCTGTGAAGTCAAAGTCCAACCTTTCCCAAAACCCATGTTGTTAAGCCACCTGCTTGGTCCCCCTCTGGCCTGGTTGCTTGTACGGCCTATTGGGAAAGCTGATATTGGAGAATGTGGCTGATATGGAGCTGGTAGACCCTATTGTAAAGTTTGAAATGTGTTGGGTTTCTCCCTCTAGTCACTGGCATGCCTGGGCCATAGCAGGCCTTCTGAGTAGCGAGGTAATTTCCAGGAAATATGCTGAGTAAAGAACACTTTGTTTCTGTAGGACGTCAGCTCCTGATAGGAAGAAAGGAGGAAGGAAACAAACCACGTGTGTTCACTTTTTCTTTCCAAACCTGTCAATCAGCTCACTTCCCTTGGCGTGGAATGAGCAAGGGGATACAAGGAGCCAGGGGTGTCATGTTGGAACACTTCACATGGCAGCAAACACCCACCCTGGGGAAGCGTTCCTTCTCAACACCTTCATGGGTGATGACACACGAGGCATAAAGATCCTTTTAGAAGGAATGAGAAAAAAGACGGCCTGAGTTCAGGTGAAGTTCAGGAGGTAAGATGGAAGGACATTTATTTTTATTCTCTCATCGACTCACTCTAGACCGCTGGACTTTCGTCTGTGTATTTGGACATTTCCTACTCTGGGTGGTCTTTGGGTGATGATGTGCTGAGACCATTGTTAAACCCTTTGCAATTTTAGGAGAGTGGATCTCAGATCTGGCGAGGCCCACAACGTTGTAGATCCCCTACAATTCGGTATAAGAAACCCTGAGAGCCCCATGTTCCTTCCATAAAAAAGAGGAACTGACATGTACCGAGTGTATCCTATGTGCCAGGGATTGCTTTATCATGGCACATGTGGAAAAGTGTAATATTCCCATGGCATGCTGGAGTAAATAGGACTGGTGATGCTCAAAGCCAGAGGTGACTGGCCCAGGGCCCTAAAAAACCCAAAGGCTGAGGGATCACCTCCTTGGCATAATCATCCCTCATGCACAGCACAACATTGTTTTGGCCTTGCATATCATTCATTCACTGAATAATTTTTTAAAGCATTTATTTATTTTTAAATATTTTTATTGATTTAAGAGAGGACGGAGAGAGAGAGACATTGATTGACTGCCTCCTGACTGAGCCCGCAATGCAGGCATGTGCCCTGACCGGGAATCAAACTGACCTCTTGGTTCATAGATCAATGCTCAACCAATGAGCAACACTGGCTGGTCTCTCCAGATAATTTCCAATTGGTAGTTCATTTAGTTACAGTTCATTTCTATAAGAATTTATTTGGTTCTGATAATCTGTCAGCAGAGTTTGGTGCTGGGATCTAAATATGATCAATGGACCCAGTCCTATTCATTTTTTAATGCTAAGTCTTTGTGTTGTTTCCAGGTTTCAATATTACAATGCTCCTGTGGACATGCTTAGATAAGTCTCTTTAAGCACATTGTGTAGGACTTTTGATTCAGACTCTAGGCCTAGAAAATGAGTTTCTATGTCATAGAATATGTATTTTAGTTGTACAAAATAATGCCAAATTGTTCCCCCAAGTGGCTGTACCCATGCTTCTTCCAGCAGCTTATGAGTATATTGCACATTAGCTTTTTGTTGGTTCATTTTTGAGCTGCCCAGAATCTAATCTAATTCCCGTGGTTTTGTGAGCTGAAAAGCCAGATTTTTTCTCTGCCTGATCCTCAAAGCCTGGGCACAAGTCCGTGGCCAAAGAATGCCAACTGGCTGCTTCCTCCTGGGACTTGGACTCTGGCATGAGACACAGGAGCCAAGCTGGTCTGGAATTTATTTCAGTGATAATGGCCATCGTGTCCAGCTCCCAGTTGCTAGGGTAGAAGTAACATCAACAGTGGTGTCAAGTGCATCTTTTTAAAAATATATATATTTTATTAAATTTTTTACAGAGAAGAAAGGATAGAGATAGAGAATTAGAAACATCAATGAGAGAGAAGCATCTATCAGCTGCCTCTTGCACACCTCCTATAGGGGATGTGCCCGCAACCCAAGAACATACCCTTGACCGGAATCGAACCCAGAACCTTTCAGTCCACAGGCTGATGCTCTATCCACTGAGCCAAACCGGTTCTGGCTCAAGTGCATCTTAATAGACTCTTCCCATGACAAGATGTTAGCTGTGATTTTGGGTTTCCTGGAGTCCCCAGGTCTATCTGTATTCTGAAACTTATTCTCTAGCCTTTTTACTCATACAGGTCATACTGGGAGCTCTCTGATAGCAATCCAATGACTTCCAATTCTCCTATAAAAATTGAGTGCACTTTTCATACTGTCAATCACAACACTCTGGAGGGCTATGAAATCAATTTTGTGAATCTAACATTTGAAAAATGAGATAATATAGAATTAAAATATCAGAGTTCATGACTACTGTAAGGGTAAGGATTGTTTTATGAAACTCACACACACATATAAACATACATAGATATGAGCATATCGGTGCCAGTTTGCTAGGTAAAATGCTTCTCTTATTTTAGGTCTGGTTCAAACATTTGAAAAGTGGCAATACAGTGTTTAAGAACATGGGCTCTGTGATTGGACTGCTTGCATTCCAGGCCCACTTGCCAGCCATAAAACCCTGAGCAAGCTACTTTAGCTCTTTGCACCTTGCTTTCCTCACTTGTAACATGACCCTATGTGGAGACTGCTAGTTTTCTACCAAAATTCTTTCCCCCTTCTCCACTCCCCCTTTCTTTTATAGGTATGGTGTTCATCTTAGTCAGTTCATGCTGCTATAAAAGAATACCAAAGACTGGGTGGTTTAAATAAAAAATATTTATTTCTCACAGTTTCGAGGCTGGAAGTCCAAGTCAGTGCCAGGCTCTTGGTGAGGGCTCTCTTGCTGGTTTAAAGACCATCGCCTTCTTGCTGTGTTCTCCCATAACAGGGAGAGAGAAAGAGAGAAAGAGAGAGAGAGAGAGAGAGAGAGAGAGAGAGAGAGAGAGAGAGAGAGAGAGAGAGAGAATATCTTTTTCTCTTTTTATAAGGGCACCAATTCCACTCGAGAAGGCTCCACCCTCATGCCCTGCCAGTAAATACTTCCCCAAAGGCCCATCTCAAAATTCCATCACATTGGGGATTAGGACTTCAACATTAATTTTGGGGGAACACAAATATCCAGTTCATAGTAGTGTTGTAGCTGAGCACATGACTCT